TCCAGGGACAACCTGGCATACATCTCAGAGGGACATCTTAGTATAAGATATATAGGTGAAGGACACACCCGTGCGATGCACCCAGTTACATAGACCATGAAAAATGACTATGATTGGTTAAACCCACAAGTGATTTATTTTCACCACTACTGTTCTTTTATACAGGAATTTGAAAAATAAAAAAATTTACTGTTTGGATGTACGGTTTACTGCAGTATAATACGTCTGGTAACTATATAGTACATTTGCTTATTAAGATCTATACATCAAATCAAAAAGAGCAACAAATGAGGAAGAAAGTTATTCATCAAATGCATATTTTTAGGGAAAAATACACAAATTAGTTCTAGTGCAAACAAGCACAGTATTATACCCATGTTGTAAAACATAAAAGATAAGGTTGAGTTAAGTAAATAGGTTCCAAACATATCGAGCCTTAAAATTTTGTGCTCCCCAAAACTTTTACAGGTTATCAGGGTTATCAGTTTAGAGTTAAACATGAATTATGGCCCTAGAATTATTGCTTTCACACCAGCAGTCACAATAAAACCACACATGTGTGGCGCAATTTATGTTTACATACATGTACTCACCCTGCACATTTGTATCGGGGGGGGGGGGGTGTACAGGGTAGTAGGGGTGCCTTTAAATGTTTTATTATTATGCTTTTGTATACTTTAACAATTTTTTAAACTTTATTACCATCAGAATCCCTATACATAGCGTGGACAGTTGACAAGTCCTCTTTATGGAGACATTAGGGGTCTATTAGATCCACAATGCCTCCCTTGCCCTCTACTGCAGCTAATCAAGCACAGATCATGCCTTACTAGCTGCAACCTCAGCTACAGTAGTCAAGGAATGACAGCTTTGAATCCAGAAGACACTATATGTAATACACAATTCGGGGTTCTATAGTCGCAGGGGGGATCAGGACATGGATGTTCCCTGATTTCCTCCTGCTCTCAGTTATTGCTGTTTACACACCTTCTTAGCCCCATAAAAGTGATCCAGTGGCTCCAGAGTGTGTCTGCTTTAACCCATTGAATACCAGAATATTTATATACAGTATGTACCCTGATAGACAAGGGGTAAACTAGACACACACTACAATTTACTTTCACAGTTAAGGAAATATTCAATTATTGTGGTTAAAACTGAACTCGAGGCAGACATAAAAAAAGGCACAAATTATTTCAGCTTGCTAATCATTAATATATCAATAAATGCATTTTTTTTTAATGCAAGCAGTGTAAGCACCTGAATCTGGTAGCCGTCTTTTGTAGACCCTGTACAATTGGGCTATAGTGCAAGAGGAAAAATAAGTACAAGGAGCCAATCAGTTCACAAGCAGGAATTGTGTAGTAGTGTGACGTCAGCACTGAGAATATCCCCTTGAGAATGTCCATTTGAATTAAACTAGTTGAGACAGAGTCTCAGTGCTGATATCACACCCCTGCGTGATTCCAGGTCCTCATAAGCTCTCTTACTGCTCTGCTCCAGAGGGAGTTGTCTTTTGCTGCTGCCTAAGAGGAGTGATTCCGGAGTGGAAGCGCATACACTTGGGGAGGATTTGTGAGAAACATGCCGTGTCTGCTATACTTATTACAGCTTTTGGTCTCTGGGGAGTGTGCATTTGATTAGGTGGTGGCACTTGGTGTTTTTGTTACACTACAAGGATCTACTGCAAGATCTTTTTTATCTGTGTATATATGGACTTAGATTTAAAGTGGAGTTCCACCCAAAAGTGGAAGCTCCCCTTGTTTGCCTACCCCCCCCCTCCCCACTGCCATATTTGGGGGGGGGGGAGCAGGTACCTGGCAAAGTGAGCCGGAAGTTCAACCCCCTCCTTCCTCCCTCAGTCTCCTGGGAACTTTCACAGGTCCCAAAAGACTGTCGGACCAATCAGGATGCGCAGTGCAGCTCGCACATGCGCAGTGGACACCTGGCTGCGAAGCCGCAAGCTGTCACAGCCCAAATGCCCACAGTTGAGATGCCGACTTAGTGGAGAGAAGAAGCAGAGAAAGGACGGCGCAGGTGAGTACATCGCTGGACTCCGGGACAGGTATGTGCGTGTTTATTAAAAGTTAGCAGCTACAGTTTTTGTAGCTGCTGACTTTTAATAAACACAGGAATGGCTGGAACTCCACTTTAAGCGAGACTTCATGTTTGGTACATTGAACGCAGCTTAGTTATTATTATTATTATTTGGTACATTGAACGCAGCTTATTTATGTATTTAGTAAGTTTTTGCTATATTCACTGACGCTGCATCATTTCATAATCTTGCAAATTCTTTTATTTGTTCTTTTATCTAAACCTAAGGGCTCGTTCACACTAGGCTGTTTTGCCAACGCTTGCCAAACGCCCCTATAGCGTTTGGCAAGCGTTGGTCCGGTGTTTGCGGAGCGTTTTTAACGCTCGGCAAACGCTCCGCAAACGCCGCATGTGCGGTTTAGCGGCGGTTGCTAGGCGTTTGCCGAGCGTTAATAACGCCCCACAAATGCCTATAATGCATTTGAGTGGTGTTACCGCTCCGCAAACACCCCGCAACCGCGTCGCAACCGCACCGCAAACGCCGGCCGGGCGTTTGCGGAGCGGCACCATAGACGAGAATAGGAGGCTTCAAAGCCTCCTGACTCGACCAGAGGCGTCCGTTTTGCCGCGACGCAACGCTCCTGTTAGAACAGCACCATGTGCTGTAATGTGCAGAATTGGCAGAGGCGTTTGGGAAGCGGTAAAAACGCTTCCCAAACGCCTCTCTGCCGCCTGCACACAAGGCTAGTGTGAACGTAGCCTAAAGCTGTAGTAAACTCAGTATTAAAAAAATGGCCCACTGCAGGTTTAAAGCGGTAGTAAACCGCAAAAAAATAAAACAAATACATCTCCTCCTTGCAGGTTAAGAGCATAATGTGTTAGTGTCCATTGCATACTAGCACATTATGAAAGACTTACCTGAAAACGAAGCCCGCCAGTGGAGCACTGTCTCGATTTTCATCTTCACCCGATCTTCCTTCCAGGTTCGCGGGCTGGGACCGTTTGACTGGCCAAGTGACGATGTTGTCACACCCATGCATGTGTATGTGAGCCTCGGCTGCGGCATGCTGGTGACATTGCCAGCGCTGCTAAAGTAAATATCTTCTAAACAGCACACATTTAGGAGATATTTACTGTACTTACCTGTAAGTACAAGAGAAAAAAAAAAAACTAGAACAAAAAATAACTACCACTTTAAGTCATAATGTACTAGTATGCACCGCACCGCATTATGATAGACTTATCTGTCGTACAGAGCCCTCCGGTGCTGCGCCATCATGGCTCCTGATGGTCCCGGTCACTTCCATATTTGCCTAGTCTTCCTTCTGGGTTCCATCTCATTTGCAGCTTGAGTGGCCAGGCCATGATGACATCACTCATGTGTATGTGCGAGGGAGTTATATCACCATGGTACACAGCGGGTGCTGTGATTGTGGTCTGAGCTGTGAATGAGTGGCTCAGATCACATTACAACTGACATGCGGAGGATTAATGAGAGAAGAGACCACTACAGTCTCTTCTGTATTAAAAGCCCTGCTTGTCAGTACTTTTTCAAAGTGTAGGTTCCATACCACTTTAATGTTCACGCTCATGCGTCACGAGTTGTAGATACAGTACATATTACCTATGGCTCTCGAAGACTTGAAAGTTACTGTAAGGGTTCCTCCATGCTGAAAATTATGATAAAGGCTGTTCTACTAGAGTGTTCATTAGCTCATTTATGTTCTAAATCTCTCCTTTTGTCCCTGTTATCTTGTATTTATTTTATATTTTTGCATTTACACAGTCATTTTCAAGTGGCATACTCTACATCAGGGGTGTCCAACCTGCGGCCCATGATGGCTATGAATCAGGGCGGACTGAAAACTCATGGGGCCCCTGGGCAATAGAGGATCATGGGGCCCCTGTGTCCTTACCCAAACTCAAAAAAGATGCCCGGGGCATCTCATGGGGCCCCCTACTGACCCCGGGCCCTCGGGCAGTGTCCGAGTTTCCAAATGGTCAGTCCGCCCCTGCTATGAATGCAACACAACACAACACTGTAAACTTACTTAAAGTGTTACTAAACCCACAACACTAAAATCAGTCTGTATATGCAGTAAAGCATGCTTGTTATACTCACTGTGGAACCTAAGGGGTTACTCCTCAGCATTGTGTAAAAAGGCTGTTTGATCCTGACTTCTCTTATCCTCCTCTTCTTCCAGTACCCCCCTCTTATCTTCTGATAAGACATATCATGCACATGCTCAGCTTGGTGTGTATTGCTAGAGATGTTTTTTTTTCTTAGGAGAATGCATGTGATCAGCACAGGGCCAATCAGCACTGTCCAGACAGTGGTCAGGGGTTCTGCATCCTCCTAGAGCAGAAAGAAAAAAACTCCTCCTACAAGCTTTAACCAGTGCTCTGCGGAACACTGATAGAAGTCACCAGACTGCTCTAACTGCTGATGAGAAAAGGTATTTAGCAGTTTATATTTACTACAATAATTGTATTTTCATGTTCTGTGTACTGCGGGAGACCATATATAGTGAATGCAGGGTCCGGGGTTTAGTAACACTTTAAAAATGTTGGGGGAATATTTTATAAAAATGTATTTACACTCAGCAAACACATGCAGACAAAGAAAAATTTTACAGTGTCTCTTTGCTGGACTTTTTTTAAATTTTATCTTCCCAATGAAAAATCTCCCACTCTTCACAATCTCGCCTTATTCATGGCCTCAGTTTTCAGTAGCATCTATATTTGTGAACTATTTTCAAGAATGAAGCACACAAAGGGCAAAATTAGAACCAAAATATCAGATGAGCACCTTGAAAATTTATTGAGAAATGTTACTACATCCATTAAACTAGATATTGATGCGTTAGTGTAACCAGCTCCCGTCCGCCATATAGTAATATGACGGACGCAAGGTGGTTCTCTTGTTCTGGGAGGACGTCATATGACGTCCTCCCATTCTCACCGCGCATGCACGGCTCAGGGAGCGCACAGCACGGCGATCGGCAGTGCGCTGTGTCCCTCGGACACAGCGGATCACCAATCACGGAAAGAGCTGAAGATGTCGGCTCAGGTCATGTGATCAGCTGTGTCCAATCACAACTGATCACATGTAAACAGGGAAATGCCGGTTATCAGCATTTCTCTCCTCTCGAGCTGTCACAGTGAGAGGAGAGGAGAGCCGGTAATCGGCTTTCCGCAGAGGGGACATGTACACTGATCATCATTGCACTGATGATCAGTGTACCCTGATGATCAGTGTAGCCCCAGCAGCGCCACCTGTTAGTGTCCATCAGTGCCTTGTGTCAGTGCTCATCAGTGCCTCGTGCCAGTGCCCATCAGTGCCACATATCAGTGCCTACCAGTGCACATCAATGCCACATATCTGTGCCCATCTGAGCTGCCTTTCAGTGTCACCCTTCAGTGCCACCTATCAATGCCAATCAGTGCCACCTATCAGTGCCAGTCAGTGCTGCCTATCAGTGAGCATCAGTGCCTTCTATCAGTGAGCATCAGTGCCGCCTAACAGTGCCAGTCAGTGCCGCCTAACAGTGCCAGTCAGTGCCGCCTAACAGTGCCAGTCAGTGCCGCCTATCAGTGCCGCCTAGTAGTGATGCCTGTCAATGCCCATCAGTGCCACCTACCAGTGCCTCCTCATCAGTGCCACCTATCAGTGTCCATCAGTGCAGCCTATCAGTGCCCACCACTGCAGCCTCATTAGCGCACATCAGTGATGGAGAAAAATCACTTATTTACAAAATTTTATAACAAAAACTAAGAAAAAAACTTTTTTTTTTTTTTTTTCACAATTTTCAGTGGTTTTTGATTTGTTTAAGAAAAAATAAAAAACCCAGAGGTGATTAAATATCACCAAAATAAAGCTCTGTCACAAAACAATGATAAAAATTTCATATGGGTACAAAGTTGCATGGCCGCGCAATTGTCATTTCAAAGTGCAACAGCGCTGAAAGCTGGAAATTGGCCTGGGCAGGAAGGGGGTATAAGTGCCCTGTAGGCTAGCGGTTAATCAAAAACACTGTCACGCAGGGGTGGACTGACAACTCAGGGGGCCCCTGGGCAATAGGGGATCATGGGGCCCCCTGTGTCCTTACCCACTCACAAAGCCTTTAAAAAAGTAACATGGGGCCCCCTACTGACCCCGGGCCCTCGGGCAGTGCCTGAGTGCTCGAATGGTCAGTCCGCCCCTGCTGTCACGTATTGTACTACTTTTATGTTGCCCTCTTTTACTTTTGTGATAAAAATATTTTATATAGGTACATTATCTATATCGGTGATGTTAACTTCTGTCCAACTTTTTCTGCTCATCAGCTAAACTTGTCCAAGACAATTCCTCTCCTTCCAATGTAGCCCAGGAAGGTCAAAAGCTTGAACACCCCTGCTCTATATATTAGTTAGCAATCTCCTGCACAGCCACTTGTAGCTACAGTTAGAATATGTAGTAACAATGATGCATTACTTCGAGGTACTACACCAGAAATAAATGGTGTCTAGCGCCCTCTGCTGCCAACATTTTGTGACTACAGTATTAACAGTAACTGCTGTATACAGTAGGTCTAATTCAAATACAAATGTAAAAAAAAATAAAAATATGTTGTGACATCAAGCATTTGTTTTGATGATCTTTAAAATAAAAATGAAAATGTTAGAACTGTATATGTTTGTTTGAATAAGAATATTTTTGCTCTTTAACTTGGAAGTGAGTCAGCAGTAAATGCATTTAAAGCATACTTAGGGCTCATGTACACTGCAGCTGATAAAAAGTTTAGGAGCTTTTCTGCGGTTTTTTTCAGCAGCCCCTGAATTCTCCCTAATGTTTTCCTATGTGTCCATGTACACTATGTCGTTTACAGTTGTGTACAGGCAGTTGAGTTTACAGTCGTTTTTTTGAACGCGCCAAACTTGCATTTAAGAGTAGATTTTATCAGTGTTTCAAACGCCAAATGCTTGAAAACGCAGTTAACTATGTTTATAAGCGTTTGCGTTTAGAAGTGTTTTCCAAACATCCTGTGTACATGGAGCCTTAAAGGCAAACTTTTTTTTAGTAGTCCTGGCCGGTGACTACTCGCCAGGGTCAGGTGATTGCCGAGGGTGTGCTTACAGTGAAGCACAAACACACGGCCCCATAGTAAAAACACACCCGCCACACAGTTAACCCTTCGATCGCCCCACATCTTAACCCCTTCCTGCCCAGTGCCATTAGTACAGTGTTAGTGTTTTGGGTTTTTTTTAGCACTGATCACTGTATTGGTATCACTGGGGATGTCAGTGACGCCAAGTCAGTTCCCACCAGTGTCAAAATGCCCGCCACAGTCCCGCAATAAGTTGCTAATCGCCGCCATTACTAGCACAAAAAAAAATTCCACTATATATACACCGCCATTTGTAAACGCTATAACTTTCACATAAACCAATTAATTTACATGTATTGTGATTTTTTTTTTAGCAAAGACATGTAGCAGAATACATTTTGGCCTAACTTTATGACATTTGATTTTTAAAACTTTTTTTACTGAACATGTTTAATAGCAAAAAGTCAAAAGTATTGTCAAAATTGTTGGTCTTTTTTTTTATAGCGCAAAAAATAAAAAATGCACAGGCGATCAAATACAACCGAAAGAAAGCTCAATTCGTGGGGAAAACAAAAAGGACATTATTATTATATTATTATTATACAGTATTTATATAGCGCCAAAGGGTTTGCTCAGCTCTGTACAATAGCAAGGGGGACAGAACATGAGACAAGACAGAAACAATGTAATACACAAGGGGTTCGAGGGCCCTGCTCTTTCGAGCTTACAATCTAGGAGGGAGGGGAAAGTGGTACAGGAGGAAATGGCTGTGGGGGATGGAGTGGTGGGAGGAGTGGAGGAGGTCAGTTGTTAAGTGAGGGTGGGGTAGGCTTCCCTGAAGAAGTGGGTTTTCAGGGTACGCCTGAAGGTGAGGAGGGTAGGTGACAGTCTGATGGATTGGGGTAGGGAGTTCCAGAGGATGGGGGAAGTCCTGGAGAAATCCTGCAATCGAGCGTGGGAGGAGGAGACCAGGGAGCTAGAGAGTAGGAGGTCCTGTGAGGAGCGAAGGGCACGGGTAGGGTGGTATTTGGGTATCAGGTCGGTTAGGTAGTTTGGGGCAGCGTTGTGAATGGCTTTGTAGGTCAGAGTTAGCAGTTTGAATTTGATGTGCTGGGCAATCGGGAGCCAGTGAAGGGATAGGCAGAGGGGGGTGGCAGATGTGGAGCGGTTGGTGAGGTGGATGAGTCTGGCCGCTGAGTTCAGGATCGACTGGAGTGGGGATAGTGTTTGTTTGGGTAGGCCAGTGAGAAGGGAGTTGTAGTAGTCCAGGCGTGAGATGATGAGGGAGTGTACGAGTTGTTTAGTAGTGTCTGCGGTGAGGAATGTACGTATCTTGGAGATGTTGCGGAGGTGGAGCCTGCATGATCTTGATAGTAATTGGACGTGAGGTAGGAAGGAAAGGTTCGAGTCCAGGGTGACACCCAGGACTTTGGCATGTGGGGTGGGAGTGATGGTGGCGTTGTTAGTAGTGATGGAGAGGATGGGGGGGGCGTGGGGAGGGGGAAGACCAGGAGCTCGGTTTTGGACAGGTTTAATTTGAGGAAATGGAGCAACATCCAGTCTGGAGGTGGGCGATGTGGGCGGAGAGAGAGGGGGTGAGATGGGGGGTGGAGAGGTAAATTTGTGTGTCGTCGGCATAGAGGTGGTAATTGAAGCCGTGGGAGTGTATTAGTTTGCCAAGGGAGGAGGTGTAGATGGAGAAGAGAAGGGGGGCCCGAGGACAGAGCCTTGGGGGACTCTGACAGAGAGGGGGAGAGAGGGGGAGGTGGCAGTGTTATAGGTGACGCTGAAGGAGCGTTGGGATAGGTAGGAGGAGAACCAGGAGAGAGCAGCATCCCTGATGCCAAGGGTGTGCAGTTTAGTAAGGAGGAGAGGGTGTTCGACAGTGTCGAAGGCCGCGGAGAGGTCAAGGAGCAGGAGGACATAGTAATGGCCATTAGCTTTGGCGGTTAGCAGGTCGTTGGTGATTTTAAGTAGGGCGGTTTTGGTGGAGTGTAGGGGACGGAAGCCAGACTGTAGAGGATAAGGGAGGTTGTTATCAGTGAGGTGGGCGCTTAGGCAATTGTAGACCAGGCGCTCAAGGAGCTTGGAAGTGAATGGTAGCAGGGAGATGGGTCAAAGGTTGTTCAGGTCAATGGGGTCAAGGGAGGGTTTTTTGAGTATGGGGGTCATGTGCGCGTGCTTTAGAGAGGAGGGGAACGTGCCAGTGGAGAGGGAGAGATTGAAGATGTGGGTGAGGGAGCGAATGATAGAGGGGGGTGACTGGAGGAGCTGTGAGGGGATAGGGTCCAGGGGGCAGGTGGTGAGGCGGGCTTTGGTGAAGACCTTAGAGACCTCCTCAGGGGTAGCTGGGCTGAAGGAGCGGAGCGTTGGGGAGGTGATAGTGTGCGGGGCGTTGGGCATAGTGGGGGGTAGTGTGGCTATGAGGTCGGAGGAGGGGAGGGTTGAGGGGATGATGGAGGGCGGGGGGGCTGGGTGGAGAGGTAGATTGTGAGTTGACAATGTCCTTACGGATTGCGTCAATCTTGTTTTGGAAATGATTGGCAATCTCATGGGTGGTGAGAGAGGTGCTGAGTGGAGGTGGGGGGGAGAGAGCAGGGATTTGAAAGTGGAGAATAGCTGGCGAGGACAGGTGGAGAGGGTGTTGATAAGTGTTACGAAATAGGCTTGCTTGGCGGCATGAAGGGAGGTGGTGTAGGTGAGGAAGGCAGCTTTGTAGAGGGAGAACGCGCGAGGGGATCTGGTTTTGCGCCATAAGCGCTCCAGCGCGCGACTGCATAGTTTGAGACATTTCGTATGGTCGTTTTGCCAGGGTTGAAGCGGTCGGTGTCTGGTGTTACGCGTGGTTAGGGGTGCCAGGGAGTCGAGGGCAGCCGACAGTAAGTCGTTGTACACAGTAGTGGCCAGGTGAGGGCATGATGGAGGGAGGATACTGTCATACAGACAGTCAGCTGCCGGGTGGAGATCGGTCGCGTTCAGATTGCGGAGGTTGCGGGTGATGGTTAGATACTTTGGGGGGGGGAGTTAAGGGAGGGGGAGATGGAGAATGTGAGAAGGTGGTGGTCAGAGAGGGGGAAGGGGGTGTTAGTGAAGTCGCGGGGGGTGCAGAGGTGGGAGAAGACGAGGTCCAGGGTGTTTCCATTAGTGTGGGTGGAGGACTGTGTGTGCTGTGTGAGCTCGAAGGAGGAGGTTAGGAGAAGGAGTTGGGAAGTAGCCGGGCTGTTGGCATTGATGGGGATGTTGAAGTCCCCTAGGATGATGGTCGGTAGCCCGGAGGAGAGGAAGAAGGGAAGCCAGGCGGCAAAGTCTAGGGGAAGAGGGATGCGGAACCAGGAGGATAGATTACCGCAATCCTCAAATTTCATTTGGGTGCAGTGTTGCATGACTGTGCAGTTGTCAGTTAAAGTAACGCAGCGCCGTAACGCAAGAAATGGCCTGGTCAGGAAGGAGGGTAAAGTAGGTAAACAGCACTTGTTTTGTTTACATTCTACTGTCAGCTGGGAATTCTGCTGACAGCAGCTGAGTCATGGTTGTTAAAGACGTGGCGCCTGCCTGCTCCTTAACAACCAGCTATTATTCACAATAAATTAGAATGTTAGAATTGCACGCACCTATTAAAGGAGATTTTTCAGCTAAGTTTATATTGTACTGTCAAAAATAACTATAGCTTGTGTTGCTATTACAATGCTGATGTTACAAAATGAAAGTATGCTGTCACCATAGATCTTCTCTAGGGAACATTGGAACATAGTAGTAAAAAATGCAATTTACCATATGTAATCCCAGAGAAAGGGGACATAAACATTTCATGAAGTATGTATTTTAAAAATGTTGCAAGAAATCAACTAATGAACAACTTGGCCACATTTGTTCTTAGCTACTGCTGCAACAGCCTGGATTGTGTGTAAATCTGACAAGCTGATTTCTTCCAAGCACCATTAGTATTATTCAATGCTGTGATATGCAAAGCATCTGCACAGAAATACAATAGTAATACAGAATGGAAAGATACTCTGTGCACACATAGGAAAAAAAGGACGGAAAATAAAATGGCCATCATAGCCCAGGATTCTTGTGTATGAAGAAATAAAAAAAAATAAAAAAATTTGGAACCTATGAAAACTTTCATTTAAAAAACTTAGAACATTTGTGTTGGGGGCGGTATTTATTAGATGTAGATTGTATGTGCCGAGATCAGATTTTTTTTTCACCCACGCTTTAAGAAAGTGTCAGATATTAGAGTGACACAAAACATAACATAATAAAACAGCAGACCTTTTATGTCTTATTTCATACATTTATTTCAAAGCAATACTTAAACAACAAAACCCATTAAGCAGTACTGTAAGCACAGGTAAAATAAAAAACCTACAAATCAAAACAAGAGGCATAACTTACAGTAAGTATGCTGTCTGTCCCTTTTGCTGATTGCAAATTGCTGATTTTTCTTCTTCTACGAAAAATTCCCTCCCATATCCACCGCCATCGAGAAATGACATAGTCAAGCCCTCTTGATGAAAGCTCCTGACAGCCATTTAGTTGTATTAACCACGCCACACTGGAAGATTGTGGGGGTGGGGTATGATAGAGGAAGATTTTTCCTAAGGAAAGAAAAGTCAGCATAAGGGACACAGCATACTAATTATAAGTTATGTCCTTGGTGCTGATTTTTATTAATTTTTTTTTTTTTAATGATTTTTAGTTTTGATTTGGGGTAAACTTAGGTTTTAAAAACTCCATATACTATAAAAGGACTAATATATCCTTGTATTCAATTTAAAAAAAAAAAAAAAAGTAAGGGAAAGTTAAAATTACTGTTTTTTACTAACTGTGTCTCAGTGGGTGATTTCCCTTCACTTTCTGTTGTGTAGACTCAGTAGGAAATAAGAGGATATCATTCCAATGTAGGACAAATGCCCACAGGTGAACAGGAGTTGGAAGAGTTCCTCTTTTTTTTCCTGTTGAGGAGGCAACTCAAACTTTTGCACCTACCCTCAACTTCATTTGCAGTGACATTAGTGATCAGGAAAGTTAGTGTCAGTCACTGTATTGTCTTATATAGGTACAGTTGTGTTCAAAATAATAGAAGTGTGTTGAAAAAAGTGAATAAAGCTCAAAATCCTTCTAATAGCTTTTATTTCCATACACACAAATGCATTGGGAACACTACACATTCTATTCCAAATCAAAACATGAAGAAAAATATATCAAATTTTGTTGTTCCTCTAAAAAAATTTAAGAAAAGTGAATATTAGACTGTTCAAAAAAATAGCAGTTTGTATTCTTCTTTACAAACTCAAACATTCACTATATAAACTGAAAAATGTTTGAAGATTTTGCTTTCCTTTGAATCACTTAATATTTAGTTTTGTATAAGCACTGTTTCTGAGAACTGCTGTACATCTGTTGCATGGAGTCAACCAACTTCTGGCACCTGTGAACAGGTATTCCAGCCCAGGATGATTGGACTACATTCCACAGTTCTTCACTATTTCTTGGTTTTGCCTCAGAAACTGCATTTTTTATGTCACCCCACAAGTTTTCTATTGGATTAACCACTTGCCTACAGGGCACTTATACACCCTTCTTTACCAGGCCAATTTTCAGCTTTCAGCGCTGTCGCACTTTGACAATTGCGCGGTCATGCAAGATTGTACCCATATGAAATTTTTATCTTTTTTTTCTCACAAATAGAGCTTTCTTTTGGTGGTATTTAATTGCCGCTGTGCGCTTTACTTTTTGCGCTATAAACAAAAAAATTGCAAAAAATTCGAAAAAAAAAAAAAAAGTTTCTTTGTTTCTATTATAAACATTTTCAAACAGGTAATTTTTCTCCTTCACTAATGTGCGTAGATCAGGCAGCACTGATAGGCAGCACTGATGGGCACTGATAGGCAGCACTGGAGGGCATTGATAGGCAGCACTGATAGGCAGCACTAATGAGGTGGCACGGATAGGCGGCACTGATAAGCAGCACTAATGAGGTGTCATGGATAGGCGGCACTGATGATGGGTACTGATAGACAGCACTGATAGGTGGCACTGACTGGCGGCACTGACTTGCAGCACTGCTGGGCTGCACTGATGGGTAGAACTGGTGGGTGGCACTGCTGGGCAAAGGTAGGTGGCACTTCTGAGCACAGGTGTGTGACACTGCTGGGTGGCACAGGTGGGTGCACTGCTGGGCACAGGTGGGCGGAGCTAGTGGGCGCACTGCTGGGCACAGGTGGGCGGAACTTGTGGGTGGCACTGCTGGGCACCGATCATCAGGGCACTGATCATCAGTGCCCTGATGATCGGTGCCGATCCCTGCTCCAACAACTGCCGGTTCTCGGCACTACTTTCCTCACGATCTGACAGGTGGGAAAAGTGCAGCCGAGAACCGGCAATTGCATTTCCCGGTGATCTCTAAGGTCGTGTCATTGGACACGGCTGATCACGTGGTAAAAGGCCGCTGTGATTGACCTTTTACCACATCACGTGATCAGCTGTGTCCGTAGGACACAGCGATCATGGAGATCGCCGGGTGCGCACCCCTGGGGGCGCACAGGAGAGCGCGTTCTGGGACGACGTCATATGACGCCCACCCAGGACTGGCCAGCCGCAGTGTAGTCGTCATTCGGCTATCTGTGGTCGGCAAGTAGTTAAGATCTGGGGATTGGGCTGGCCACTCCATAACGTCAGTCTTGTTGGTCTGGAACCAAGATGTTGCACGTTTACTGGTGTGTTTGGGGTCGTTGTCTTGTTGGAACACCCATTTCAAGGGCATTTCCTCTTCAGCATAAGGCAGCATGACCTCTTCAAGTATTCTGATGTATTCGAACTGATCCATGATCCCTGGTATGTGATAAATAGGCCCAACACCGTAGTATGAGAAACATCCCCATATCATGATGCTTGCGCAACCATGCTTCACTGTCTTCACAGTGTACTGTGGCTTGAATTCAGTGTTTGTGGGACGTCTGACAAACTGTCTCCGGCCACTAGACCCAAAAAGAACAATCTTACTTTCATCAGTCCACAAAATGTTGTGCCATTTCTCTTTAGGCCAGTCAATAGGCTCTTTGGCAAATTGTAACCTCTTCAGCACATGTCTTTTTTTCAACAGTGGGACTTTGCGGGGGCTTCTTGCAGATAGCTTGGCTTCACATAGGCGTCTTCTAATTGTAACAGTACTCACAGGTAACTTTAGACCTTCTTTGATCTTCCTGGAGCTGATTGTTGGCTGAGTCCTTGCCATTTTGGCTATTCTATCCATTGGAATGGCAGTTTTTTTTTGCTTTCTTCCACGTCTTTCAGGTTTTGGTTGCCATTTTAAAGCATTTGCGATCATTTTAGCTGAGCAGCCTATCATTTTCTGCACTTCTTTATATGTTTTCCCCTCTCCAATCAACTTTTTAATCAAGGTACGCTGTTCTTCTGAACAATGTCTGGAACGACCCATTTTCCTCAGAATTTCAGAGAGAAATGCACTGTAACCAGCATGTACAACATTTGCTGCCTTCCTTCCTTAAATAAGGGCAATAATTGCCACCTGTTTTTCAAAGAATGAATGACCTCACTAATAGAACTCCACACTGCTATTATTTTGAACATGCCCCTTTCAATTAGTGATTCAATTACACAGAATCAGCAGCATGAATGTCATGACTGTTGGGTCTGTTGGATTTCTATTACTCTACTACACCTGCTAGTAAATTATTTGCCGTGTAGAAATATCATTTATACCAAAAACAGTGATTGATCAGGTTAGTGATGTCTGACTGCTATTATTTTGAACACAACTGTATGTATGGCTAGATGGTATATCACACCGAATAAAGCACGCAAACAAGTAGAGGTTTCACCTTCATTTATTTATTTCAGGTACTTATATAGCGCCATCAATTTACGCAGCGCTTTACATATATATATTATACATTCACATCAGTCCCTAACCCTCAAGGGGTGTACAATCTAAGGCCCCTAACTTACCATTCATACATACACAAACTAGGGCCAATTTAGACAGGATCCAATTAAGCATGTCTTTGGAGTGTGGAAACCGGAAACCGGAGTACCCGGAGGAAACTCACGCAGGCACAGGGAGAACATGCAAACTCCAGGCAGGTGGAGCCGTGGCTGGAATTCGAACCAACGACCCTAGTACTGCCAGGCGGAAGTGCTAACCATTTAGCCACTGTGCTGCCCATAGGTATACTTTTAAATGTATTTTTTATATACAGCTAGAGGTTTTTTTTTTATGTTATTTTATTTATGGCTGGGTATGCTTACAAAATTAATTTTCAACTCAGTCACTAAGCTAAGGGAAAATTCCTTTGCAAAGTGAACAACCTATTTATCTTTAGTAAATTAACCTTGTTAAGTTCAGGGAATGGTATAATAATATCTCCTGTGACATAAGCGATCAGCACAATTAGAGTGAATTCCCCCAAACAGGAACACAACAGTTGTTCTAACTCCTCACCACTCTAAATCTTTGGTTTGGTTATATTTTAACCTCCTTACAGAAATCTGGTGTATAAAATAGTAAACACTGGTAAGTTTCCTTTGTTAAGCAGACACACTGTCACATCACAACATATCCTATTTAGCAAAGTGCTTTGCAGCATCTAACATAAGGGGCACAATTAAATCTATAAGCCATAATTAGACCAGAAGGGATTAGTGCAGCAAGATTCTCAGACTGTTCACTCAACAAATCCTCTGTTTTGTGTCTTCTACAGCCAAGAGATAGATCAGACTCAGCTCCCCAAATTACAGCTAACCCTGGGTATATTACACCAATGCAGCTGCCCTACCTGTGATGTGAAATAGAGGGGCGCGCCAAAGGGAGAGATACAGGTACTGTCTTCTAATATTTACATACCGCAATCCTTTATGTAGCAAAATTCTTACTGCACGCCACATACCTTTCATTCTATTTTTTTTACTTTGTTCAGGCTATTTTATTTCTTTTGATCTCTCCTTAATTTTTTCTACTTTTCTCCTATAAATGTGTTCATGGATGATGCTACTAGCAATCATTCTTAAAATCGTTTACACTTTAAGTTTTGCTAAAGTGTTACTTTTTCAGCTTTGATCAATGATTTTGGAGGCAATAGTGCTTTTAATCTGTTATATCAGATTAGGATTTCAAACAAGCTATATATCACTATATTTTACATCATCCACTTCTCAAGTGGCAGTGCTTTGGTCTAGTGATAGGGCACTCAGACTGCAAGTAGTGCATTATGGAACACTGACAAAGGTGGTTTTCTCTCATTATATCCTAGATATTGATATTTGGAAAGGCTGGGACATGGCTTTTTGCTAAAAATAGGTGAGATCAAGTACCTTATTGATTCCTCTTATTCAGAGTTGTGTTCAGTTTAATGAACTTAGTATTGTTACAAGTCTTTTTTGATAGGAGGTTCTCAAAAAACCAAAGCAGGTTGATTCAGGTATTCTACGCTGCGTTTGTACAGGATGGCATCCACCAGTCCACCGTTAGATTCAGGGTGATAGTTTAAAACAGGTGTGTATTGCGTGGAGGACCATGCATGGTGCATAGAGGACTTCCATGATCCTCCATTTGGCTGTCTTCCTAAACCTGAGACAGGTTTTGAACTTTACCTGCATTTGAAGATACTTTGAAAAATGTTGGCATTTTAGTGTCTATAGTGGCACAAGAGTGTATTAATGGCCTAACCAAGATGAATATGATTGCAACAGATTGCCTTAACTGAAACTGAAAATATTGTAAAAGGTCTTTTTGAATTATTGGTTTTAATAAAAACTCTAGTATTGCTCATACAGGAGTTCAAAATCATGAAGCTGTTTTTCCTTTTTAAATTTTATGCAGCATTATTCATATATACTTTAAAATGACTAGCTTGGTAGTATGTGGGAGTAATCTATTTTGTGGTAATATTGACATTACTAATAGTAGAATATTAATAGAAATCAGTGTTCCTCAGGACATCTAGTCTAGGGAAAAAGGGAATGGAAGTTAATGGAGTAGTGGTGGAGCTGAACAATAAATACGATAGGTACGCAGGTACATAATAGGTTGCAGAATAGAGAGAAAATAAGTAGAGAAGTGAGAGAAAATAAATGAAATATGGGGGAGGGGGGTTGTTATTTGGGGAGGAAAATAGGGTAAAGAGGAGGGGGAGAACTAAAGCGGAAAAATACATTGCAGTTGGACCAAGACTATGTAGCTCAAAGAATCAAGGTTTCCAATTGTTAGGTGGGAGTTGTCGAAATCTGCCAGTGAGTAGAGAGTAATCTAGTTTTTAGATTATATGGAGTATTGGGCAGCTGGTCACCAAGTGTGGTAGCCGTAGTCAAGAAATTAATGCACAGGTGAACATGGGAGTTAGGTTCTTTGAAAGGAATAGTCTATTTTTCCAGGCTCTGGCAGTCATCTGCTTTGCATGGATAATAAGGTATAATCCATAGTTTTCTTTTTTTTTCACAAGGTTTATTTGGATAAATCTGTTCTGAAATGTGTAGATTATTGGTAAGTATGTTAGTAAAAATTTTTAGACACACACAGTTTATGATGGTAGCCTGCAACATCTAAACCTGTTATGGCTGGCGCTTCTCTGATTAATAGACTCAATGGTTCAATAGATAAACGGGAGAGGGGACAACTCTGCTTAGTTCCTCTGAAGATTGAGAAGTTTCAGTATTGTGATGTAAAACAAAACAAAAAAAATAATTACATGCTATTCTTCGTTTTAAAAATAACTGCACTTTATTAACAAAAACTGTCCCTGCATAAAGCTGCTGGTAGGTTGATAGTGTATTATAATGTGTATGAAAAATAAGAATATTATTTCAGCTACCCAGCCTTCATGAAGCCAGCCCAGCTTTTAATTCTCCCATGCTCCTGTACCAGTTAGAAGTTTCAAGAGGAAAATAAGGGACAGGGTCTGTGCCAAGCTCCCTTCCCACCGGTTTTTTCTTCCCACAGTATCAAAATATTGTGGGAACACAAGAGGATGCAAAAATAACCATACAAAGGAAATTCAAATATATATACCTCAAGCAGTACACTGCTCCAAAAAAAAAAAGTTATAATTTTCTAAAATGGCACAGGGTTATGCTGTGTGGCTATTTTAAAAACATTTTGTTGCGGAGTGCTTCAACATTCTGTTTTCTGTTTCTAAACTTATAAGAGTTTTGCACTAAAACAGCCTTTCTAAACCTTTTGAACTTGAAATACCCTTTTGGTCCCAGGAAACGTAGAATTAAGTTTGAAATTAATGAGTTCAATTTCAGTGTCTGCTGACAATACCAAATTATGCAGGGAAAATAGGAATCGACTTAACATCTCACTGTACATGTGTGATGGTCAAGCAGAAGAATGTTTCGTACACTTAGGGTCAGTAGGAAGAATTCCCTTCCTTATAGACAGCTA